AAAAAAAAAAAAAAAAAAAAAAATCATACTAAAAATGCTAATTTCATATATTTATAGTTTCTCCTGATTATAAATTCGATACATGTTATTTATAAAAATTCGAACGTTATGTGTGATGTCAAAAAGTAAAAATCCCTTCTAACTCTACTTCCAGAGATGACTTCCATTGACAGTTTGCTTTATATGCCTCAAGATTTTTTTTTTCCGGGTAATTCATCTGTCTTTTTAAAGGAATTATTCCATAAAAACTGTTTTTCACCTTACTTTTTTTTTCTTTCACTTAGCACTGTGACTCAGCTCTTTCCGTGGCAGCAGTTAAGAGATCAACCTTATTCTTTGTCATGGCTGCGCAGTATCTTCATGTAGAGAGGTCCCAGAAGCCATTTGCCAGTTCCCTATTCATGGATATTTGGGGCCTGGAGGCTCTAGAATCAGGTTTAGGCTTCTCCTTTGAGGGCAGAGGTCTGAGAGCAGTTATCTCAAGGGCGGACACTTGTCGGGGCTTTGACCAGGTATGCTCAACCTTTCTGAGCCTCTGACCTGCCTGGGTCATAGGCAGCAACAAGGCCCCGGCTTCGTGGGGCACGTTCTATGCTTATTTTGGAGGTCATTGTCATTGGGTGGGTGCTAATGCGTAGTAGCTTCTAGTCTTGCTTTTTGATGGGGCACAGGTAGGAGTGTGCTGGGTGAGTGAGGATTCCATGCCCACTTTTTTTTTTTTTAATTTATTTATTTAATTTATTTTTGGCTGCGTTGGGTCTTCGTTGCCGCGTGTGGGCTTTCTCTAGTTGCGGCGAGCGGGGGCTACTCTTCGTTGCGGTGCGCAGGCTTCTCATTGTGGTGACTTCTCTTGTTGCGGAGCACAGGCTCTAGGTGCGCAGCTTCAGTAGTTGTGGCACCCGGGCTCAGTAGTTGTGTGGCTCGTGGGCTTAGTTGCTCCACGGCACGTGGGATCTTCCCGGACCAGGGCTCGAACCCGTGTCCCCTGCATTGGCAGCTGGGTTCTTAACCACTGCTCCACCAGGGAAGTCCCTCCATGCCCACTTTTGCCCTGCCTCTGGCCCCACCAGAGACTCCACCCCCCTGAAACAGGCAGGCGGGCAGTGGGGTTTGTTGGTGCTTCTCCTCGCAGGTGCAGTCCATCCAGCCCCCGGCAGCTATGCCCCAGCCAGCTGTGGTCATTGCCAGCCCAGCCCCAGCGGCCAAGCCATCTGCCTCTGCTCCCATCCCAATCACCTGCTCAGAGACCCCTACTGTCAGCCAGCTGGTGTCCAGTAAGTGGCTTCTAGAGAGGTTGTGGAGAAGGGGAGAGGCATTTATTTGGACACGATGACCTCATTAGATGACGCTCTCCTTAATAAACTTCCTTGAGTCCACAGGGGAAGGGCACAGGCCCATTGCCAGGAACTGGCTTTCTTATTCTGTGGAGCTGGATTCTATGCATGATGATGGTGGAGGCTGCTTAGCCAGCTGTCAGGCTGCTTCTCTGAGAAGCCAAGCCATTGGCTGTCTCCCCTGTGGTCTCTCACCCAGCATTTGAGGAATGTGGATGGCCAACAGGTGTGCTTGGGGCCAGGCTAGGGAGAATGGGGGAGGGTCAACAGTTAGAGCTGGAAGAACTTGAAAATAGGCCTCTACCTCTATACACATTGGTCCTGGCCTCTTACCCCCAAGTCTTATTTGTCTTGGGGACAGGGGTGATGAGGGTCTTAAGGGTACATAGGCCTTTTGTCAAATGTCCTTATCCCTCACTATAGCACCAGGCTAGGCCAATGGGCAAGATAAGCAGTGAAGGTTGTCTGTCTTACACACACCCCTGCCCCCTTCCTCTGGCCTAGAGCCACATACCCCGAGTCTGGATGAGGACGGGATCAACTTAGAAGAGATCCGGGAGTTTGCCAAGAACTTTAAGATCCGGCGGCTATCCCTGGGACTCACACAGACCCAGGTGGGTCAGGCTCTGACCGCGACAGAAGGCCCGGCCTACAGCCAGTCAGCCATCTGCCGGTGAGTAAGGCTGCCTTAGACAAGGTCAGGGCACTCACAGGGGCCCAGGTATCTGGTCCTTTTCCATATTCTCCCTGGCTTCTGCCCTCTTCCGGACAAAGAAAGCTGTTCTAAGGGTAGACATGAACACCTCGAGTAACCAAAGTCTTTCTGGGGGCCCTCTGAAGTTTAGCCCCAAATCCTGAGCATTTATATTGTCTTTTATGGGAAAGCCAGGATCATAATCCATTTAGGAATCCTAGAGGGACAGGAGTACAGCTTATGAAATTAGTCACAAAAGTGAGAACTTCAGTTCTGGCCTGGTTCTCAACTATAACCCACTATCACCCCTATCACGCTCCCATCTCCCCCTCTTTTGAGACATGACTATAAAGTGATGTAGCTGATTTTTCTGTGTGCAGCGTACAGACTGGTTCTGGTGCCGGTATTAAAGGAGGGGTAGGGAATTCCCTGCCGGTCTAGTGGTTAGGACACTGCTAGGGTCCCAGGTTCAATCCCTGTTCGGGGAACTAACATTCCGCAAGCCACGTTACATGGCCAAAAACAAACAAACAAACAAACAAAAGAAATAAAGGAAGGATAGCCGAGGGTTTCAAACATGAAAAAACACACGGTTCAGGGTTGGCCAAAAGGTTTCATCTGCCTGCCAATTCTATAGATTAGACTAGAGTGACTATTAGACTACCGTGCCATGTTGGGAATTCTGTAGTCACATCGGGGCTCAGCCAGAAAGAGTATTCTGACTTAGAGATGCTGCAGTTGGAGGAGGACAGTACTTACGACATCCATTTGGCATCTCTGGAGGCCTCTCAAGATGAATCCTTAAAGGACCTCACCCATTTGGATATGAAAGTTCTGGAATGGTGCTCATTAAAGCAGTTGCCCTGTTATCATCGCACTACTGAACCGAGGCCATGGGAATGGTCTCCCTGTTATGACCTGGGATACAAGACAGTCTGAGGAGTCTGGGCTTGGCCGAGCCAGGGGGTTTTAGTGGGGGTGGTGAGGGGAGCACTGAGCACAGCCCCACCAGCCCCAAGAGGAGCAGCCCCTTGTGGACAGCGCTCGTGCCTGGTGTGGGGAGTAAGACACTCTGACTGTTCCTTCCTGGGCTTGGGTCACCTACAGGTTTGAGAAGCTGGACATCACGCCCAAGAGCGCGCAGAAGCTGAAGCCAGTGCTGGAGAAGTGGCTGAATGAAGCCGAACTCCGGAACCAGGAAGGCCAGCAGAACCTGATGGAATTTGTGGGAGGCGAGCCCTCCAAGAAACGCAAGCGCCGCACCTCCTTTACCCCCCAGGCCATAGAGGCTCTTAACGCCTACTTTGAGAAGAACCCGCTGCCCACAGGCCAGGAGATCACCGAGATTGCTAAGGAGCTTAACTACGACCGGGAGGTCGTGCGGGTCTGGTTCTGCAACCGGCGCCAGACGCTCAAGAACACCAGCAAGCTGAATGTCTTTCAGATCCCTTAGGGCTGAGCCCCCAGCCCTGTGTTCCAGCACTTTGTACCTTCCCTTGGCACCCGGCTGCAGCCACCGCCCTGCGGCATCTGTCATTCTGCCATGCGTGGCTGTGTTTGCCCTGGGTCGTGAGACTACACTGTGCGCCTGTGTTTCAGCCCCCTCCCCCTCCCCCCACATCGTCCACATCCTGGGGAGGGCAGTGGGGCCGGCCTGAGACCTCCAGGCTTGGGGATGGTCACGCCAAGGGAGGGGATTTGTGGTGTCACTTGAAGAAGCACTTTGCTAATGTGGGTTTTGAAGGGTGAATTCTGGCTGTGAACCGGAAACTCCCCTCTCTGGGGCAGGGCTGCAGCAGCCTCTGAGGACCACTGGCCATTAGCTCTTGTTTTTGACAGCATTCTCTTTCCACTCTAAGCAGGCTTCCACTGGAGACCCTCTGTACCTGCCGTGCCCTCTGCCTGAAAGAACCCAACACATACAGTTCTGAAAAGGGTGATGTGCTGCTCAGAAGGTCAGACGCCATGTCTGCCTCGACCTCAAGGTCAGAACGTTTCCACAGCCCTGGGGCCAGAACATGTGATCTCCTCTCCCATCTCTCCCTGGTTCCTTTGGGAGGGTGGAAAATTGCCCTAAAGCAGAACCTTTTCCTTTGTAAATCATGTTGGAAGGAAGCAACAGTGAACTCTAGCTGTCCTGGAGTTGACCTGGGTCTATAGCAGGTTGGGAACTTAGTAAATAAGGCCATCCTCCCAGATTTTAATCTGATCTCTGTCCGTGGCCATCTCCACATCAGAATGGTGTGGTTAAGAGAGCTTGCAGCCTGGAAAATCCCCCGGCCCAGCTAAGCAGGCACTGGGTGGCGGGGCGGGGGGTGGGGCAAATTCACACGTTGGAATGATAATGCCCAGTGTGAGGGGGGTGGGGGGTGGGGTGGGGTGGGGGTGGAAATGAGGAAAGGAATGCTGACTCTCTCTTGTCCTCACACTCACCGCCCCCCCAGTCCTGGGCCCTTCTCAGAAGCAGCAAATTAAACAAGAAGCCAGACAGCAAGGCCCTGGGAAAAAAAGCCAAGATCCAGAAAGAGCTGATGGCAGCCCTGGAAGGTCTCTGTGGAAAGTGACTTAACTCTAATTTTCTTTGGAACTTGACGTCTTGGATACTGGAGGAGAAATCTAACTTTGTCCAGAGTCTTAGACCACGTGTTTGTGTAAGCAATCCCCCCAGTGCGCTTCTAAGCTAAGAATACCCCTGGAGCAGGCTGGGTTTTGCCTTCAGAGAGGGTAGCTATGGTACATTGGGGGTTGGCATCTCATCCAAGATGTTAAGTGAGTTTCCCAGCCTCACTGTGGCTGGGCCTCCCCTGGAATTCAGTAGGGGATCAGGAGAGGACTGCAAGGTTTGCTGAGATGAGCCCAGACTTGCTGTGTAGACTAGACTTAAAGGGTCACACACAAGTCACAGGGGTGAGCCACCCCCTCCTTTCACAACTTCTGTCCTTACAGAGCCAGGTCTCTAGGTCTCTACAATAAACCCTGAAGAGGTGACTGCCAGGCGAGGGCACATCACCACCTCTGTCAGACACTGGTGCAGAGCCTAGCCTCGCTTCCTCTGGCATGCTGTGTTTCCTTTCCTGCCTGCAGCTGCCCCCTCCCAGGCCCTACAAAGCCAGTGTGGCCGCCCGCTTGGTAGCTCTGCCAGTGAGAAGGCAGTTGTGTGTCCAATGGCCCGCTCCCGCCTACCCCACGCCACTGCATCCTGATCAACCAAACGTGCTCGAGTGTGGTGGAGGATGAGGAAGCAGGTGGGCACCTTGTCTGCCCCAGCCTCCTGGGAGAGACTACGTCTCCAAGGGTAAGGTCCCGCACTCAAGTTCAGGGTTATCAACCTGTCTCAATGAGATGATGAGCTCACTTGAGAGGGGTGTTGTAAACAAGTTTTCAGTAAGAATAAAGTAGTGCCAGAATTTGTAAAGGATTCAATCACTTATAGTTCAATAAATTAGACAGATATGGGTTTTTACCCTCAAGCCCTTGTGTTCAGATATGCTTTCTTTTTTGGGAGAGACAAGTGGGTCGTGGCTGGTGCCCTGGGAGTAGCATATAACCCAGGGCGTGTCCGTGGCAGTGGATATGCAGGAGGACACCATCTGTCCTGTGTCACGGCAGGAAAAAGCTGATGCACTGCTGCTCTAAATTAGGCCTGGCCATGCTTTCTTAGCTCCTCCTGCATCTAAATGTGTCTTCCCAAGGCTGGGCTAGAACTAAAGCATTTTTTCCTCTGCTGGAATGATGGGTTGGTCTTTCAGAGGAACCAGTCCAGGGGCAGAATGTTTGCAGGCTGAATTCCCCAGGCAGGGGGATACAGGATGCCCCTGAAGTGTGCCCAAACCAGAGCTCACCAGCCTGATCTCTGCTCTTGTTTCCCCTACCACGGGGCCCCCAGAAAGCAGCAATGGCCCTGAGGTGGGTTTTTTGTTTTGTTTATATTTTTGTTTTGAGTAGCATCAGGCTCTGAAGGGAGTTGATATCAATTTTGTTTTGAAAGCACCTTTCTGGTTATCAGCCAGATCTCAGTGGCTCCTTTACCATGGAAAGGCAGGAGAAAGGGCAGAAATGGCTTAACTGTTTGCATGTGTTTTGTTTGTTATTGTTTTAAAGACCAAAACTTTCTATGGCTTAATGAATTGGCTGGGGCCTTTGACCCTGCACTAATCAAGGCATTTTATCCAGGTGGGGTCCAGGGAAAGAATTCAGCCCAATGGGTTAAGGAACCCATTTGACTTTGGAATGAGAGACCCTGACATTTTTGTGTCCTTGGAAATCCAATCACCTTCCGATGCCTAGATTCCCTTCCTGTCTCCTAGGCCAGGCTCTGACGCTGAGGTTCTGACTTGATCCCGGACGTGGGACAAAGTCTGCTGAGAGCTGGAGTGGGGGGTCAGGAGGGGAGAATGGGGGAGAAGCACTTGATGTAGTTGTGTGGAATAAACAGTATTTTTTCTTTTGTACTGGTCTGCTTGTTTCTCTTCTACCTCTCAGGGTGATGTGAGGGAGTCAGTGTCAGAGACCAGGGGAGGAGCTGGCTTCGCTATCAGAGGCTGTGGCCGGGAAAATCCCATTGCAAGAGGATCAGTGCCCTGAACTCCTACTTCCCCGCCCAGGCCTTCCAGCCGGGACTTTCCCCATGGGGTGCAGGGTCAAGGGGATGTGCCCTTTTTTTTTCTTTTTTTCTTTTTTTTTGCGGTACGCGGGCCTCTCACCGCTGTGGCCTCTCCCGTTGCGGAGCACAGGCTCCGGACGCGCAGGCTCAGCAGCCATGGCTCACGGGCCCAGCCGCTCCGCGGCATGTGGGATCCTCCCGGACCGGGGAACAAACCCGTGTCCCCTGCATCGGCAGGCGGACTCTCAACCACTGCGCCACCAGGGAAGTCCAGGGATGTGCCCTTTTTCCTTCTAGATCACCCCCTGATACCTAGGATCCCACAATTCCCTGCCAAGCCCACTTTCTAGCCCCTCTTCCCTGGGTCCTGATAATAGATTGTGCTGTTGGTGTATACACTCCTGGCCCAAGAGGTGACCAAGAGGCAGCTGTTTGTCAGAAAGCTGGGTGGATGGAGCTTGGCTGTGCGGACTGGATGCTGATACATATACACAAAGCCCTTTGCAATGTGAGGGGGTGCTGCGAGGGGGAAGAGAAGGCAGGCTGCAGGCTGGGGGCCAGGACTGGGGCACATTCTAGCACAGAACATCAAGGAGTCTTAGAAGTCCAAATTCAAACCTGGCCTTCCCGGTCATTATGAAGGTATGCTTATCATGATAGGAGGCAAGAACAGTCACAGTTAGGTTGATTATGCTTTACAAAAATTTAGATATATGGTAAGTGGGTCTTCCTTTGTGCTTTTCCCCAGGCCTGCAAATGTTATGGGCAGGCCTGCCACCTGAGCTCAGGGCTGGGAGAGCATGGCTGTAAAAAGGGTCTCTCCCTCCTAGGAGGAGGGTTCATGCCATGCTCCCCTGCAACCCTCCCTCCTCCCCCCTCCACCTCCTTGGTACTGATGAGGTCTGGGCTACATAATCTAAACTGGTGACAACAAGGCAT